GGGCATCCGTGGTGTAATACATATGCTGGATAAGTTGTTTCCGCTGTGGCGACCCCAGATTAATAAAGAGACTAAGCAGAAAAGTAAATGAATAAATGAGTTTTATAAGATAATGCACCTTGTGATCTTGCAAAAGGGAGGTGCATCTAGTTAATGTGAAGTTGTTGTTTTTTTACATTTTACAATCCCTTTTTGAAAATACATTAATAAAAAGGTCAAAATAAACACAACCAGGCCGCACTTTACTAAATGTGTAAAAACTCAAAACAATAATTCTCGTCAACAAGATCACTGAGGCACAAATGTTATACTGAGCGTGGTTGGCACAGGGATAGATGGGAGTTATTTGAGAATGCCAGCTCTATGGGTGGGCTGAGACAGGAGCTAATTTTCCAATGGAAACCCTAATCTCTAAACAATACAGGAGCAATAAACAAATACAGGGCTGGAATAGCTATACGTTGGCCATGATGGAGCCAGAAAACAAAGTGTGTGCACACAGGAGTTACCCAAAGATAGTTGTAAGTACATTGTAAATATAATGACAAAGTTACAATATTGATGGAATCAATTACAAATTGAATCTACCTGCCTTTAGGCGACTCTGTGGCTCAGTGGTTAGCACTGATGCCTCACAGCAAGAAGGTCACTGCTTCAAGTCCTGGCTGGATAAGTAAGCATTTCTGTGTGGAGTTTGCATGTTCTCCCCGTGTTGGCGTGGGTTTCCTCTGGGTGCTCCGGTTTCCCCCATATAGTGTATGTGTGTAAATGAAAGAGTATGGTTTCCCAGTACTGGGTTGCAGCTCGAAGGACATCTGCTTGTTGTGTAAAAAACAAGCTAGATAAGTTGGTGCTTCATTTCGCTGTAGTGACCCCTGATAAATAAAGGGACTAAGCCGAAGGAAAATGAATGAATCTGCCTACCTTTCAAGAGCACAATCATATAAAGTGGCACAGTACAAAACCACAGGTAATTGGTATATAATTGCTTTATTATAAACAAAAAATTATGCACTGGTGTGGTCACAAACACAGTGGCATATCAAAATAGTTATCATTATATCAATCTTTCTTGGGTTAAACGTAACTTAATTCTTTATTTTATACCCAAAATGGCGTCAAATTAACATAGATGCTAAAAAACATGCTAAAACACAAATCAATTTCATATCAAAACTTTGACGTCTATTTGACATCCATACAATATAAGAAACGTTTTATTCATCTGAAAGCTTCATTTGCAAATTTAAACTAGTTTATGTATTGCAATGCATGTAAAGAACCTCAAATTACTGTCAAGGGAACAAAAAATTGACATCTATAACACCGGTCTCAAAAACACATCAAAAATCAATCATAGAACAGTCCTATATTCAAACCATTTACAAGCAATTAGTTTTCTGCAACTCTCACATGGTCACCCACTGATGCTAAGCAGGGCTGGATGGGAGGCCACATGGATAAGCTAGGCCGGAAGTGGTGTTTGTGAGGCCAGCAGGGGGTGCTCAATCTGTGGTCTGTGTGGGTCACAACACCCCAGTATAGTGTATGGTGGTGGATGTGGTGGCAATGTGCAAAGTACATTGAGTGTCTAGAAAAGCACCATATAAATGTAAGGATTATTATTATTATTAATATTAAGCATTTTCTACTTGTTTTTGATGTTGTTTTGACATTAATGTGCACGCTGAGCCCCAAATGCAAATGTAAAAACAACCCTGCTCTACCATTATCATCATCTGAAGCCATACTGGCACCATAAGTCTCAAATAACAAATAAGTTTTCCTTAACGTTCTGCTGGTGAACCGCTACAAAGCAGACTAATTGATGCTCTGATCAGCCCCTTTGAATGTGCATTCTTCACATAACTCAATCCTCAATCACCCATTTCACACATTAGAGCCTGTTCTTGGCCCTCTAAAGGCCACACACCTGCAAAGTGCTCTATTTATCATACTGAGACTCATTTTGTTGAGCTGTTCAAGAGAATTAAACCTGTCAAGAGCTCTAACTCTCCAGAAACATACAGTACATGTTTGAGTCTGTGCCAAGCTAATTAGAAGCGGTTGTAGCATCTCCATCAAGGGCTTTGGATGAGCTGGCTCTAAGCTTGTTCAAATAGCCAAAGTTTGCAAAGCAGCCGGCGACTTCTGCTCGGGCACATATACGAAACATGATGAGAGACAACTGTGACTGCCAAATTCAGTCAGCTTTGCTCGCTGATGAGTGTGCTGACATATTTAACAGAGCATTTAAAACACATCATTCTGAGGTATTATATCTGCCTAGCTGTTAAAAGGGGTTTTACATTGTGAGGAATGATCGCTCGATAAAACGCATTACATTTACACATTTGGCAGATGTTTTAGCCAACTTACTCAAAGTGAATTTATTGTATATTGACTTTTTTTATCACTGTGCATCCTGTGAGTCCTATTGATCTATCATAAGACTACACGTTATACATAAATTAATAAACATCATATATCTGTGTAATATTTTAGTTTTTTTAAACTCCAAGGGCTCTATTTTGACGGTCCATGCGCAAAGCGCAGGGCGCAAACGCTTTCAGAATTAATTTTCGCTAATTTAAAGACAGTAAAATCCGCTTTGCGCCGTGGCGCATGGTCTAAAAGGGTTGAGTTTATTTTCTTAATGAGTTATAGGTGTGTTTTGAGAATAAACCAATCAGAGTCTCATCTCTCATTCCCTTTAAGAGCCAGCTGCGTCGCACCATAAGCGCATTTGGAAGTGGAAAAACTGAGCATTTCACTAGCAAACAGTTAACAGTTTTTTTAACAGAAAACAGTTAAACAGAGCATCTACCGCGCAAGAATGAGAGATAAACGATCTACTTTCACTTCACTCTTGGATAGGGAAACCTTTATGCACAGACATCAATTAGCCTATAAATAATTAATTTAGTTTGTTAAGCACAAATATTTGTTTCAAAACTATTTCTAAATTCAGTTTTAATTTCCAGCAAACGAATGAATGAACGATAATAACGAAATATAAATATGGATTTAATAAATAATACTGCTAATAATAATAACATTATACAAAAGCAAATTGCTATGAATGAACTGAAAAAGCCTCCCGATATTAAGAAGGCTCTGCGCTGGAGTTTAGACCGGGTTTGTTTTGGTCTAATGAAAAATATATTATAGTTTTTCAAAATAGCAACGCACAAGCAGTGCACCTCAGAACGCCTTCCTTTTTAGACCAGAACGCCTATGGGCGCACATATGAGCGCAAATGCATTTGCTATTTAAAGAGCGTGGCGCCTCAAAACGACTCTTGCGCCAAGCTGAAACTAGCAAACAAGTATTGAGCCCTATCATAGGCCTTGTGCCTCATTGCGCCGGGTGTATGATAGGGCCCCAAGACTTTATTTAAGTTTTCTTTATTTATTTTTCTATTTATGTAATTTATTTATTTATTTATTTATTTTTGCATAAACAGTTTTGGAAACCACAAAACATTTTAAGGATTTCTGTAAAATCATTTTATGAAAACATTTTTAAATAATTTTCTATCAAAAGTTTTAGGATTTATTTAAAACAAAACATTTTGTACAGTTAAAAGGGCTATTACTATTACTTGTTGATCCATTCAATGCAAATATATATATTTATACAGTTGAAGTCAGAATTATTAGCCCCCCTTTTTTAAATATTTTCCAAATTATGTTAAACCGAGCAAGGAAATTTTCAAAGCTTGTCTGATAATATTTTTCTTTTGGAGAAAGTCTTATTTGATTTGATTTGGTTTTAAATTTTTTAAAAGCCATTTTAATGTCAACATTATTAGCCCATTTAAGCTATATTTTTTCCGATAGTCTACAGAACAAACCATCATTATACAATAACTTGCCTAATTACCCTAACCTGCCTAGTTAACCTATATAATCTAGTTAAGCCTTTAAATGACATTTTAAGCTGTATAGAAGTGTCTTGAAAAATATTTAGTAAAATAGTATTTACTGTCATCATGGCAAAGATAAAATAAACCAGTTATTAGAAAGGAGTTATTAAAACTATTATGATTAGAAATGTGTTGAAAAAATTAGGGGGAACAGAAATTAGGGGGAAAAATAAACAGGGGGGCTAATAATTCAGAAGGCTAATAAATCTGACTTCAACTGTATATATAAAAAATATTAATAAACATATTTATAAATATATATATATATACAATGCTTAGGTTCAGTAATTTCACTTTTATGGCAAAGAATAAGTTCCTTTTATGATTTTCAAAGTAAAATAACTCAGCATAAACAAGGGAGGCTGAGAATAATGCTCATTTTCTATGGAAATTTCAGACGGCACTTCAAGTTTTTTTTTCATCTGAACTCTTCATTAATACACCATCAATTTAAATATATATATATATATATATATATATATATATATATATATATATATATATATATATATATAATTTAAGGTGTATTAAATCATGTAAACACCTTTCATCATTCTCAAGTAATTTTACTTATACAGTAGAACAGCCATTAGGGTAAGACTCTCGATAAAACATAGCCCCAAGATATTTAAAACACTTGTAACAGTGGCGTCAGCCATCTGTGTTTCACAGCCTTGCTGATTACCTTCAATGTCAGTAAAATGAAGTCACACAGAAACAAGCTAATTATAACAACCATTATCAAATATACAATATCTGACAAAGCTACATAAAAAGGTCAAAGCAAAATTGTAAAATCAGCCTTTTTCAGAGCCCATACCTTTAAAAGCACAATGTTGACTGTATTAGCACTTCAAAACACCTTTACTTGAATAATAATCATCTTTTAGACATATTTGAGAATGCTGCATCGAGCTGCTGTATAGCCCTAAAAAGACTGCACACCTGAACACTGCTTCTAAACAAGAGCTTGTGTAAAACTATTACTGAACACTCTGATGTGAAGTGGTGTTAATGCGCAGCGCTGGATAATGAACAGCAATGCATTGAGAAAGGCTCATGTGATATCTACCTTTGGGCTGCCATCCAGCTCCTCGCTGTTGGAAAGAGTGGTGTTGAATGCTTCGGTGTGCTGTGGAGCGCCTTCCTTCAGCCTCTTAGGCACCTTCCTGCCCTCGGCCCACCCTAGAGGGATGCACTGGCTCCAGAGCACAGCCGTCACCACAGCTAGTACCCAGCAACGCATCTTCAGCCCACCAGCCAGGAGACCGTTGTTGGGTCAGAAAGCAGACTCTATCACAGTCCTTCTCTCTGTGGGAAGTTCTCGACTTCAAGAAATACAAAGGAACAGCGAGACGTCCCGCACGCTTGACCTCACAGGGAGATAAATACTGTAAGAGGCAGGCAAAGTGATTAAGGAACTTGTCCACTCCACCTGATACCTCAGCCTGCTCTTGATCTTCTCAGCAGCTACCAGTGTGAGGCTCAAGCCCCTTTGGCAAAAACAAAGCAAAGCTTACTCGACTATGAAATGTGTCAAGTGCGGAGCAATCCTGGGAAATGACAGGTCGTCGCTGAGCTGACAGCAAATAAACCCATTAGTGAGATTTTTCACGCTTCCTGCCCCATGGGGGGTAGCAGAGGGCAACTAAAGAAGGTCCCAAACTGGGAAAGGGGGAACTGGATGGAAATTACTCAGATTCCCTCTCACTTTCTCTCTGATTCTTCACCTCCGTCTCGCTCCTGGGATGTGGAGTCTGTGTGGTGATGCAGCTGAGAAGATTCTCTGGTAAGCAACGCTAAGCTCTTGCCCCATCAGTCTTCACATGTGGTTCCTTCTTGAAGCCGAGGTGGGAAAAAAAAGTCCTGAGGGAATTGGAAGTTGGAAATGATCCAGTTTTCTTAGCCTTTGGCCTTCCTTTGCCTTTTTTTCCTTGCAGGGAAAAATCAGTCTCCCTCGGAGCAACTTTAAAGCACTTGATGGGACGATCACACCCAAATACATCAGCCTTGGGTGACAAAAACAAATGCACGCTCTCCCCAAAGAGCAAAATCTGTGGTAGGTCCTGCTCACAGTTCTGTCCAAATCTTATGCTGTTGCTCCTGCACTCTCTCACTCTGCTTACAGGAGGGCTCGCAGCAGAGTTTATCACAGCCCCCTCTCTGTCTCTTGCTCTTTCTCTCTCTCTCTCTTTCTGATTCCCTTGCTACTCTTTTCCTCATCAGTGAAACTGGCAACCTCAGTAGGCTCAGCCCTGTTTTATCTCACTAATGAAATACTCAAGTCTTGAGGGAGAGCTCTTTGGCAGGCAGACTCTAGGGAATGCGTGTTCATGTGTGTAGGTGTAAATCTGTGCGTGTATGTGTCTGAGTGAGTGTGTGTTGTGTCCTACTTTGCAGTACATGTGACATTTAGACTCAGAAAGAACTGCTTTTAGGGACTAAAAGTGATTGACCAACTGACTAGACTAGATGTCTGGAAAGGACTGGACAGCCCTGTTATGGAGTCACTCCATAACAAACTTAAAATCTGCATGTACGCACAGCCTACTAGTACTGCATCAGAAACATAATCCATAGTACTATTAATTTCTCATTGCTAAATGTAATAACTTGCAAAACATGCTGTTAAACATTAGTGTATAGTGATCCTAGTATTACTACAACATAAATCACAATATGTTCATGTTATTAATTTATTATTTTACTCACTGTGATTCATTGACAATTATGCACATTTTTTAACTTTGTGGTTAAGTTTTGCAATGCTAATAGACAGTGCTGTTTAATACTGGTAACATTCTAGATCCTCTGATCTTCTTCCTCCCTCTGGTGGCTGGAAATAAAGTTGCAGGACTTCATATTTTTCAGTGTGTATTATTAATCTGTATATTATTAAACTTTACTATAAAACCAAAATGCAAGTCGCAAATTAAAAAATGTTTCTCACACTTATTTTGAATTTAGATTTAACTTACCATAAAACTATTTTAAACACACACACAAAAAAAAATTGTGTATGCTCAGGGATAGGCGATATAAGTATTTCAAATGTATTTCAAATACAAAATAGTATTTTGTCATTTGTATTTGATAGGGTTTATGAAAACTGGTTAATATTTTGTAGTAAAAATACTTTAGTGTCTTCTATTTTTGTATTTTTAAAGTACTGTAAAATACTTTGTAAGAAGTCTACATGATGACTTTGTAAAAATGCAGCCTCAAATTCATGCTTTCTCAGTTATTTGCCTAGGATTGACATCAGAACAGAAAATTTATTAATATTGAAGAAGGGCGTCAATGCTTGGAGTATGAATAAAATATTATGCACTAACAAAACCTCCAAAAGGCTGTACTGGTGTTCACTAAGGAGGTAACTTGACACTCTTCCATAAGAACTGAAAAACTCTTGGGAGAAAGAGTATACTGCACATATAATAGTAGTTTACGGTGGATTGCTAATGTAGATGCCAAGAAAATAAGACATTAACAATATTAAAATAAATCCCACAGTGGCGATTTCTGCGATACTTCATTGGCAGTTTTAAATGCCACTAGTTAATCTGCTGGTGCTCAAATGAAGAGGACATGTCTGACTAAAGATGTCAAAGTTTAAATTAATTTAAAAGAATTATGTGTACAAAAAATGTAAATAACCTCTTCATATATCACCCATTTAAAATATAAGGCTGTTAAGAGATGGTGTCAATTTTAATGGCCACGCAAATGATGGAAACACAATAAAGAGATACTATGTTCCAGCTCATAATCTGCATTATATGGTGTTTTACAGTGATTAAAGACATCATCTTCAAGACAGGACTTTCTGTATAAAATTTGTACAAAATGTATGCTAAAAATATTGGCAACTGACCCAGCCGGGACACAAACCAGTGACTTTCGTGTTCAAACAGAAACAAAGGTTTATGAATACCTATTCAGGTGTTTTTGTCTCATAGGAGAGGTCAACGAGGTGCGGACAAGCTGACTTAAACTTGCTCAGAGAAACGTTGCTGCTGTCAATTATTGTGTACTTCACTTTAAAGGTAAAGGGACTGATTGAATATGGAAGGTTTGCGAAGAAATGTCATGCTCCCAGGTAAAAGTATTTTGCAGCATTTTCAAAATGCAAAATACAGTATTTTATTTTGATACATTTGTGGCTGCTGTATTTTGAGTTTATTTTGATACATGTAAAATTGAGGTATTTAATACATTTCAATGTATTTTTGCCAATACTTGTGTATGCTTTGCTTTTGAATGTGGTATTTTTGACATCTCCTAACGAGGCACATATTAAGGTCTTGATAGATTAGATGGTAAAATATACAATCAATTCACATGTGCAGTTATAAAAAGGTCTGACTAACCTTGTCTCAACTGACAACTTGCTATGGCAAGACAACTGAGTCAAATCATCTGATGGCTTGTGGGTTGCTTACAGGCAGCAGTGGTAAAAATTACTACAGTGGTCCAAGGAGGACAATCTACAAGCTGCCTACAGTGTGATAAAAGCTTATTGATGCATGTGCTTCAAAGAGTGTTCTGCATCTGGTCCAAGCCAGCAGAAGGTCTGCTATGCCATAAGCCACTGAAAGGTTTAATGATGATTATGGATAGACACAACAAAAAGTGCATTCCTCTGCAAGCAGCAGACCAGCAATCATACAGCCTGGTGAACAAGAGTCATCTACAGTAAAAAAGCACTTCTACAAAGGGCATGCTATATAAAGGACATGCAAGCAAGCATTGGAAAGTGACTTGCACCAAAGGAAAATCACTGGGTCTGATAAGTATTGTTATATGTTGATTTATATGACAATGTACATGTGTTATTATATATGTATGGCAATGTACATGTGTGTCTTTAACTTTGGTAAGTGATGGCCAAATTCACTTTATTGTGAGAAGACAAGATTGTGGAAAGAGTTAGATGCTTTGGGCAATTTTCTGGTTGTAGAACTTGAGTCTGAATCAATTATAGGTTTGATATTAACGTAAGCTAACTAGTAGAAGCTAAGAAGATAAATTTCAATCTCCTGATGTTGAGGAACACAGTTGAATGGACATCCTTGTTAGTGTACTAGCCTCCCATGCCAGAAATGAAAATTTGGAGTAAACCAAGTAGAACTCAAAGGGTTAAGCAAACTGTAGGATTTAGATGACATAAAGATAAGTGCTAGTGCTAAATGAGTTGTCTGTATTGATGTCCAAACATTTATTCATTCATTCTCTTCGGCTTAATATTCTCTTCGGCTTGGTCCCTTTTTTAATCTGGGGTTGCCACAGCGGAATGAATCGGCATCTCATCCAGCATATATTTTATGCGGCGGATGCCCTTCCAGCTGCAACCCTTTACTGGGAAACATCCATTTAGCTTACCCAGCTCACCTATACCACATGTTTTTATACTTGTGGGGGAAACCGGAACACCCGGAGGAAACCCATGTGAACACAGGGAGAACATGCAAACTCCACACAGAAATGCCAGCTGACCCGGCCGGTGCTCAAACCAGCAACCTTCTTTCTGTGAGGAGATTGTGCCACCCACTGCGCCACCGTGCTGCCTCAAACATACTTCCCCAATTAATAATATGTTAAATGTGTCATCTGAATATTGTCTGAATCAACAGTAGCCTATCTGAAAAAATAAATAAATAAAAATTAGTACCCAATAAGTACCCAAACAGCCTACTAATTCTAGCAGCATTCTGACGTGTGCATTTGATGAACATTACCTAAAGCACATGGGGAAATGGCATATTAACCAACATACTATACTATTAATATAATAATATAGTGATATCATAATATATAATATACCAATAAGGCAATACAGTGACTCTCCCTGTGTTTGCATGGGTTTCCTCCAGGTGATCCAGATTCCCAAAATTCCCAAAATTTCAATTTTCCCACAGTCCAAAGACATAGGTGAATTGAATAAACTAAATTGGCCAAAGTGAATGAGAGTGAATTAATGTGTATTGATGTTATTAGATAAATTGGCGGTTCATTCTGCTGTGGTGACCCCAGATTAATAAAGGGACTGAGCCGAAGGAAAATGAATGAATATACTAATAAAATTCTGTAGGTTTTTGGGGTTTTACAACAATAGTAACAATCACATATGTTTTAAGTTACCATCACATAATTTATTGATTTAATAAAGTGAATATTATATTGTTTTTAAAGGTAACTGTATAGTTCCAGTGGGTCTCTATGTATTAAAACATTTATTTTTTAGTCTTTTTTTGCCTTCTATTGGTGTTATGTCAAAACCAATTAATCCTATTTGAAAAAGTCCCAAAACAAAAAAACATTAATATGTATTTGTTTACGTTTTAAACCTGTTGGTTTGTAATGACTTTAACTGAATTTTTATGAAACATTACAAACTTCTGTGATTATTTCTATTGTTTTTTTTTTCTTTTAAATTAGAGACTGCATGTTTCCCCCCTATAAACCTGTTTGATTAAAAAATGCCTTGCTTCTTACGCTACACTGTAAAACCAAATGGTCAACTTTATCAAATGAAATGAGTGTAAATAACTCAAAATTTTGTGAAAGGTTATTTTTACTCATTTGAAAAGAGTTTTGTTGAATCGTTGTTGAAGGTAATGAGCTAATTAAATTCCTCATTACTTCAACTTAAATGGAAGAAGTTCACACTACTCATAGATTAGTTTTTAAATAAAATGGTTTGAGTTGCCTTAATATATTAGGTTTTACAGTACTCAGTTGGTTTGATTTCTCTTCATTTATCAGGTTTTACTGTGCTCAAATTGCTTCATTTAATCAAATGGATTACAATCACAGCACTCATTAGGTACAGTTTTTGAACTTAAATGGTTTGTTGCAATCAGTTTTCTCAAATGGTTTGAGTTACCTTAACTTTTTGGGTTTTACACTGTAAAACCCGAAAAGTTATGGTAACTCAAACCATTTGAGAAAACCGAATGCAACAAACGAGTTAAAAAATATATTATATGAGTACTGTGAACTTACTCCATTTAAGCTGAAGTAATTTTTAAATGAGTAGAATTAACTTTCAGTAAATTTTGAGTTAACTACACTCATTTAATTTGATGAAGTTGACGGTTGGGTTTTACAGTGTTATAAATATGTCTGTGTTATACAAGCTTCTCTAGCCATTACATTTCAACGAGCCTGCATTTGTGAAAACATTGTGCAAAAAAGGAACCACTGATGATCAGAGACAAGATTAAAAAAAAACATGATATAAAAGATGAAAAGATATTTGTTACACTGTACACTTCATAAGCATTCATCTTCTGGTGCAGTAGATGGCGATATGAGCTGTATGTGTCGAACTCACCTCATATAACAAAGGAAGAAGACGCGCCATCTGACAACGTAGCAATGTTTCTTTCCTGAACGCCCGTCTGCTGTCAGTCTGTGGAGATTCTTGCGGTTATCGGTCTGTCCAGCGTGAGTTTATGTGTGTTATCTGAGTCCACATAGGGAGGACGTTACTTTCAGGGCCATAAAGCTCTCTAGTGGTCTCGAGTGGCGACGTGTCCAGGAACTGCGCGTTGAGCCGCACATAAACAGTCACTTACTGCTTCATATACAACAGGCCATTAACTGCTGTTCATTCATCTGACAGTTCATTTGTGGGAGAGACCTTTTAAACAAACGGGTAGGTAAATTGTTAATTATTTTTCATTCATAAGTGTCATCTTTTTTCCTTCGGACAGGTGTTGTCAAACATATGCTGATTCATATTCAGTAGTAGTTGACTCTGGATGACCTAAATGGTAAAGACTACAGTTGTGTCAATTTATTAAGTAGTAACGTTATAGACTCATTCCCTCTAACATAACTGATTTACTGGTTTTAGCTAGTCAAGCTGGTTTCTTAATCACAAAGTCCCTTTGAAATTAGTGAACAGATTAGTCTTGGGTACGATTTATTTCATCCACAATCTCATTGAACATTGTAAAGTCTACTCATGCTTCTGGGTAACCTTTTCTTTCTTTTTTTTTCTTTTTTTTTTTGTAGTTTCTACATCGAATTCTGACATCCAAGCTGTAAAACCATGTTTAACTGGAGAAGATCCCAGCTTAGTTGCTTATGTGCATCAACTTTGGCAGTATTTGTGATGCTGGCGTTAAATGTTCAGGGCAGGCCAGCAAATATATCAGCATTAAAAGGCAAACAGCCTAACAGTAAGGAGGACAATGAGATCCTTCCACCTGATCACCTGAACGGTGTGAAGATGGAGATGGACGGTCACCTCAATAAAGACTTTCATCAGGAGGTGTTTCTAGGGAAGGAGATGGAGGAGTTCGAGGAGGATTCAGAGCCAAGAAGGAACAGGAAAAAGCTCATTGAAATCTTCACCAAGTACGTACAAAGTTCTGGAAACAATTAGATATGTTTATGACGTGCTTGGATGTCAGTCATTTCTAGCAATGAAGTATTTTCTGAGGTAAAAGAAGTTCTGAAATACTTTTTTGATTATGTACATTCAGGTAAAACAGCTTGCCATATCAGAAAAATATGCAAGGCACGATGTTGATTGGCAGGTTTTACGATTAGTAAAGTCCAAAATGCCTGAGAGGTGTCTCATTCTCAGTCTTCATTCAGACAGAAGACTAGGGAAGTTGCTTAAGAAATGAAATGCTTAAGTTAATTGTAACATCTACAGTGCTCAGCATAAATGAGTACACCCCATTTTGAAAATTGTTATTTTTATCTATTTCTCAGTGGTTATGGGTAATATATATTGTTACATTTGAACAAAACAGATTTATTAAACAGATATATTTATTAATATTTATATTTTTATAAATAAAATTTTAGTCACAGAACATCTTTAGAAATGTAAAGATAATACAATTAAATTCATGCAAAATATTGCAAATAAAAAATACAACCTACAATTTTTCAACAAAATATAAGAATATTTAAAAAAAAAAAATTCTTTCTCATGATTTTTGATGTTTTTGAAATTTTTATTTAATATTGTTCCCTAACACATAAATTTGGACTACTAATTTTTGAACCATTTTTGTAAGTTATTTTCTTAACTTATTGCAGGAATTTGAAAGTTTAGTTGTTCGTTGTACCTGTAGGGCCATCATCAGATCTTCACTTTCTGTTTTATAGGGTGGATATAAATAAAGACAGAAGTGTCAGTGCTAAGGAAATGCAGCGCTGGATCATGGAGAAAACAGAAGAACATTTTCAAGAAGCTGTTAGAGAAAACAAGCTTAGTTTCCGTGCTGTAGACCCTGATGGGGATGGTAAGTGGGTGGTTATATATATTTATAAAAATTATAATTATATATATGTTTTTAAAGGATGCTATATTGGATTTCTGCAATGTTGTTGTTGTTTTTTTTATTATAAATAATCTTGACTGCTTTTGGTGAAATGACGGGGAAGTTTTAACTGAATCTGCTCTCAGGACTTGTTACATGGGACGAATACCGTGTGAAGTTTTTGGCCAGCAAAGGTCTCAATGAAAAGGAAGTGGCTGAAAAGATCAAAAATAATGAAGAACTGAAAGTGGATGAAGAAAGTACGTCATGATGTATATGTATGATATGATGTAGTACTAGTTGTAGTTTTTTCTAATGAATAACATGTCTGGCCTCACTTCAGCTCAGGAGGTTTTAGAGAGCTTGAAAGACCGCTGGTTTCAAGCTGATAATCCTCCTGCTGACCAGCTGCTGAATGAAGAGGAGTTCCTCTCGTTTCTGCACCCGGAGCACAGCAGAGGCATGCTCAGATACATGGTCAAGGAGATTGTCCGAGATCTTGGTAAGCATGGGAATATGAACTTCCTACCCAAGAAATGCCCTCACATGTCTTGTGATTCCTAAAGTGATTTACTCACCCATTTACTCATGGTACCAATTGATTTGCATTGTCTATTTTCCAGACTGTTGATGGTACCCATTGGCTTTCATTGTATTTCTTTTCCTACTACCAAAATTCTTCATTTTGAAGTGCACACACATACAATGGACACATTACTGTTTTTGCCATTTTTGACAAACGCAGTGAAGTGACAAGTCTAATGCCATACCACATAGACTTTGTTGCAATGCCAATTTCAAATCATTTGTAGTTGCTACTCTATGTATGTATTTTTTATTTTTTTGCATACAGTAATATTCTGTGGAGCAGCTTTAATGGCTGTTAACGTATCACATCTAAAAGTGTGTAGAAAGTATGTGTTGCGTTCTTCACCATTTTTTGAGCTCCATTGTTGTCTGTTGTTGCTAGGTAACCATTAAGCGTTTTCTCAGAGCTGACAAATCATTTCTGCAGCTCTGATACAAGTTTTATTTCTGGGGAAAAAAAATTAAAAAGCACTGCAGTGTTTTGGTGTTCTTTGTTTGTCTGAAGTAATTAGTCTAGCTAAATGTATTAGTCAGTTCTTGACGTGTGACATGCGGTGCGCTTGCGGCATTCTGAAAAGTTGAGATGTTTTCAACTAGGTGCACCTGGAATACGTGAGTGTGTTAGGCCGCTTGTGCCCAATATTCCAAACCGTGTGCCTCTTGGAATTAACAAAGTTGTGCGCACAAAAGCTGCGATATGTCAACAGCCGCTTATAGCAAAATTATTTCAAATTGGAATGCATAGAATTTTGCAACACTGAATTGAATTAACATTGAACTAGCTCAAGCTGAATAATGACACTATTTTCTTTTTATAGAGCTGCTCATAGCTGAATTGAGTGGTTAATAATTGATGAACTTTACACTATTATTAAACTGAACTGAACCTACACTAAACTACCCGAAGCTGAATTCACTTCGCCATTTTAAAATAAGGTTCTATTTGTATTTTGAGTGATTTTGAGATTTTTACCTTTTTTGTTAGTCTTAATGTGAACAATTAATCCATGCAAGTTATAAAACCCCACCCCAGTTCAGTTGGAAATGCATCATCCAGGATTTCCACAGGTCAATATACCTTGTATTTTAGAGCTTTGACTTTAAAATGATTACTTCAAAGACTGGGTAAGAAGTTGATGACAGAAAAGCTAAATGTAAACTTTGTAAAACTGACCTATCAAATATGGAAGAGGAGCACTTCACAGCCACGCAAACAGTACATACCTCAGAAATTGAAAAAAGTTCACATTGTTGCAAGGAAGTCTGTGCGACTTGCGGAAAATATCTAATTGTGATGTTTGGGTTTTTTTGTTTGTTTGTTTGTTTTTTTTTACAAATATTGTGATTTTGATTTGCGATTTAATTTTGTAGTCAAGCTTCAGCTCAGTAATCTATATCGTAACTTCTTGCTGCTAAAATTCAGTGCGTGTTGGTTAAAAAAAGAAACTGAAAAGACATTAACGTAAACATTTATTTAAATGTATTTACCTTACAGGTAACTAATACCCACTGCTTGCAAATATACTAAATGATATTCAAGCTAATATTTGTATTATTTTTTAAATGTTATTATTAATATATAAGCACCTTTTTTTTTCATTGTATGTCATGGAAATTCTGCTTTTTATCTGTGAAAGTCAGGGAATTTGATATTTGGCTTAAAGTGGGAACCCTTGTCATCAGACTAAAATAAAAGTCTCCAGCGAATTCTGGTTCCAGACTTTAAGTAATAGAAAAACTATTCAAAGTGCAGTTAGAAAAATTAGGCTGTACATGTACTGTGCTGATAATGAAATCTGCATCAAGTGGAGCACACCAATACTCTAGCACATGCATAAAAACCCAAAGTATACTTTGGCCATAAAGTACAATTAAAGAAAGGTGACTCGACTTGACTAAACTCTGTTTTAATTTCCTAAACAGATCAAGATGGAGATGGAAAGTTGACTCTTGCTGAATTCATCTCCCTCCCCATGGGAACTGTGGAGAATCAGCAGGCCCAGGACATCGATGACGACTGGGTTCGTGAAAGGAAGAAAGAGTTTGAAGAAGTTATTGACGCAAACCATGATACGATTGTAACCATGGAAGAGCTGGAGGTTGGTTTAACCATTAACCACACTTTTATCACATCCCATTTGAATGGATATCTGATATTGTCTCTGCTCGGCTCCACAGGAATACATGGACCCTATGAATGAGCACAACGCTCTTAATGAGGCCAAGCAGATGATCGCTGTGGCCGATGAAAACCAGAACCACAACCTGGAACTAGAAGAGATCCTAAAATACAGCGAGTATTTTACAGGCAGCAAACTCATGGACTACGCTCGTAACGTACATGAGGAGTTTTAGGAGTTCCTCAAGTCTTTATAAATAAGAAATGCATGTATATTTCACTGAAGTGTCGCAAGTGACAATGTTGGCCTTTGCTTGCTTCCCGAAATGGGATCAACAGGTGCATATGGAAATATTTGCAAATGTAAAATCCCGCAAGCCACAAAAACTTCTGTAATATTGCTGTGCACAGGTATGAGACTATTAAGACGTTGTGATTTCCATATGACCCCAGTATAATTAATTTTAGACACTGTCACTTTCATTAGTTTTGGAGTGTTTATAATTAAGAGAAATGTCTGTATATGAGGAATTGGTAAGGGTGTGTTATCGTGGAATTGATTAAAAAAATGAATTAATGTAAATAATGTAGTTATTTTGAGTGCCATAATATATTGATGCATTCTCATGTTGGGTGGGTTGATTTTTGAGATTAGGCTTTGAGCTTAAAATGTGTTATTTCCAAAGATTGCAATACAGTCAAATGATTTGGGCTGGTAATTTGGTGTTAAACATATTTAGCACTTCTAATTGAGATTGCATTAAAACTTTAAACGCAAAGTCGTCAAAAGTCTATTCTTTGAGAGGGATAATTACTCCGTCCAGATGTGACCTATTTGCACATTGAAGCATTTTAAGAAGCCCATTACTCACAGTTTGTTGAGGTCATAATTGTATATAGCATGAATGTTTTCTTTCGTATTTGTTTGTTTTTTGCTTTTAAACATGCAGTTTGCTGTTACCTCAGAAGTCTCTTTCAGGCACAGATATTTCTCCATTATCAACTGTTTGAGTTCTTGTAAAAAAAAAATGCTTAAAAATAATTTTATTTAAACGAGAAATAGATTAAGAGGATTCTACTTGTTTTCAATTAAAATAGTTTTTTTTTTTTGTGAATGACAATGAAAAATGAAACGACCGCTATATGTATTTTCTGGATATGAGAATAAAGTTTTATTAAAATACACAACTGCTTCAAGAAATAAGGCTAATGTGTGCTACTGACTGTCTGTATATATATTTGAGCTCTAGTTTTGGTTTTATGTCAGGCCCGTTGCCAGCCTGGTGAAAGGGTGGTTCCTTTTTGTTCTTTTGCAGTTATTAGCCTCATTTTCTATCTAATTATGAGGTTTAAATACTTTTTAGGCACTATTATTTGCTGGATTAGCTAGTCAGATGGTCATCAACCACACCTTTTGATGTACCAAAAACATTTCCTAAAGATTTTGAAGAAAAAAATGTGAAAATAATACTTCTTTTTCAAATACAAATGTATTACATCATATATCATCAGGAAAAAAGGGTTCTGTTCATGTTTAAAATTAAACTAGCCTATTGTCATTTAGTAGGCAAACAAACTGGCCAGCAAATTCAACTTTCTTCAGTAACGCTGAAACAACAGCCAAAAGAGGATTCCACTTCGTTTTAAAGCCTGTTTAATGGTTATTTTCACAATTTATTGTGGCATAGCAATCAAAATAGGACAAATGAGCTTGGGATGGGACAAATTCATGTATATGCTGAAGAAATGATTAAATTGCACTTCTGCAAATTACACAAGTTTCCGATTAATGTTTGCAAATTAGAGTAATTCAATTTTAATATAATCATCCGTATCTCTCTTCGTGTATTCTCAATGACTGACTAAATTGCCAATGACTATTTATTCTTATATTGTTGTAGTTCTTGCTGATAGGCTATATGTGTCTGCTTCAGTTCCTGTTTGGAATGAGACAAAACACATCACATCCTCTTCAACAATAACAATTGTAATGTTTGCATTTTTATACTACAAAAGAGACAGGTCACCCCCCGCCAAAGTTAGCTTTTTACTTCAATAATTCTCAACTTTTGTTTTGGCTGGAACTGTTTTTCTACTAAAAAAAAGACATACACATTACAGAAATGAACGATACATTAAGGTCATATAAAATGAAGACCTTAAGGATAGACACCATAGATAATAACTATATAATCGTTATTATTAAAATATTTTACATTTAGTTTTAATGAACTCAAGCATATAACATGACATACAACAAAACAGTGCACTGCAGTTTTTAATAAAATGTAATCATGCGCTGGTGTGGTCAATGGAAGTTTCCGTTGCTTTATCCTGTTTATTGTATTAACTTACACTGAGTATTGTGTGTTATGCACATTACAGGCTCTTGCTTGCTGTGTTCTTCATTTGCAAAACATTAAATATGGAGGGCAAAACCTACAAAAACAATAAATTAATCAATATACAAATATATTAAAATAAAATGAGTAAATGAATCCAGAGTTATATATATATAACCTTCTTGCTGTGAGGCAGCAGCACTACCTACTGCGCCACTGCCTCACCTCTATCTCTATATCTATATATCTATATATCTCTATATATATATCTCTCTCTCTCTCTCTCTCTCTATATATATATATATATATTCAGGCGACGCAGTGGTGCAGTAGGTAGTGCTGTTGCCTCAAAGCAAAAAGGTTGCTGGGTCACTGGTTTGATCCTTGGCTCAGCTGGTGTTTCTGTGTGGAGTTTGCATGGATAAGCTGGATAAGTTGGTGGTTCATTCTGCTGTGGTGACCCTGGATTAAATATATATTATATATTTATGTATGTGTTTTTATATTTAGTTATATGGCTTGCATCTAGAAGGGCATCCGCTGCGTAAAACATATGCTGGATTAGTTCACGGTTCATTTCGCTGTGGTGACCCCAGATTAGTAAATGGACTAAGCCGAAGGGAAAATGAATGAATGAATATTTATTTATGCTGGAATTTGTAGATTTTGTATAGATGTTTATTTATTTATTTGATTTATTTGCTCATTTAGTTATATATTTGCGTATTTATTTGTTTAGCCTATTGTTTCTGCAGATTTCGTCCTTTATTCAATTCAATTCACCTTTATTTGTATAGCGCTTTTACAATGTAGATTGTGTCAAAGCAGCTTCACATGTAGGATCACAGTAAATTGAAACAGTGTAGTTCATAGTTTATAAAGTAAAAGCACTTTCACACAATAATTGATCTATTATTTTCCATTTCCTGAAGTTTTTCGTGTAACCACAAGGAGGCAGAACGGCGTCAAAATTCATACACTGTTGGTATGAGCATCATAAGCGAACTCGAAGACCCTGCTGAATGTTACTACATGTTCTTTGCACATATGCCTTGCAAAATACGTTCATTTTATCCTCCAGCTACTACTTGCTATCATCCTAAAACGGGTGCAGCGCATTAAAAATGTAAGCACGCATTACACATACATATCACTTGCACACTCTGATGTGTATAATGAGCATCATTCATTATTAAAAGCACTAAGAGACTCCTTTCTGTCCAACAAACAAAACCATTCCAAATGATGAAAATCCAAGCAGAGTCGTACTACAGGGTGTGGCGTTGAGCACAGAGCAGACAGACGGGTTTCTAGTATGGTACTGGTGGTGGTAAAACGAGCAGCTTTTTTCTGCTAGAGACTGTTATGTAAGGAGGGAGAGTCTTCCCACCGCCCCTCTCTGTTTTTGTTTTTCTCAATGAGCCAGGCTCTCCCTGACGCAGGCCCCTGCGCCTGTCCACTAGGCCCCTTTCCTGGAAACAGAGCCTGGCAGGGGCCACTCAGGGGCAGGTTTTTGGTCGGGGGAGAGAGAGAGAGAGTGATTGTGGGAGGGGGTCTCTTTCCCCTTCCTGCAAATCACATGGCTCCAGACTTGAGTTCAAGCTTACAAAAACCTCAGATTTGGTCAATCTGGGCACTGCTCTTGTTGAGTACAGGCATTTGGGTCACTGAGTCCACGGACTTCAAGTCATTGAGGATGGGGGGCTGCAAGCAGGATTAACTTTAGCTTATGTCCTGTTCACTGGTTATTGATATGTATAAAGGAGATAAAGTGAGTTCTGAAGTTTGTGGGATTGAAATTCTTGTGTTATTCATTAATTTTCTTTTCGGCTAAATCCCTTTTCCCTATTATCCCTATAATCCCTATTAATCTGGGGAATGAACCGCCAACTTGTCCAGCAAATTTTAACACAGTTTAACACAGCAGTTGCCCTTCCAGCCACAACCCTTCACTGGGAAACACCCATACACTCTCATTCACACATATATACTATGGCCAATTTAGCCAATTCACCTTTAGTGCATGTTATTGGACTGTGGGGGAAACCGGAGCACCCTGAGGAAACCCACGCAAACACAGGGAGAACATGTTAACTCCACAAAGAAATGCCAACTGACCCAGTGGAGGCTTGAACCAGCGCGCCACTTGAAATTCTTTTGTGTGTAAAAGACTGTAAAAGATGCTATAGGCTCCACACAATCGAATTGTGTTAACACAACATGTAGAAATTAAGTTAACTTGATAGTTTTTCAAAAATTTAAGTTGAGTGAACATGAAACAATTAAGTTGCCCCCCAAAAAACTCAAGAACTGGGTCATTTGCAGCTCATTTTAAATAAGTCATATGAGCAAACACCGAACCTAATTTTTTTCTGTATGAGTGTTTTACAAATTTGTTTTATGTAATTTTTTTTTTTAAGTAAGACATATGTAAATAGATCAAATGTGACCAATGTTCTATTTTGAGCTTTCTTTTTATTAATAAATTCAAAATATAGATAATGGTTTCCACAAAAAATATATATATTAAGCACCTCAGCTTTTTTAAATAACAATTATTCTGGTTTAGTATTTCTAATTTATGAATTTGAAACTAATAAAAAAAATCACAACATATATTATATTATATTATGTTATATTATATATGTTATATTATAATTTAAAATAAAGTTGTTTTTTTGTAGAGTAAATCAGCTTTTTCTGATGAATCATATGACATTTAAGATGCTGAAATGATGCTGATGCTAAAAATTCAACTCGTCATCACTAGAATTAATAATAACTTCTAAAGTTTTTTTTTTCTTTTCCCAGTGGTTCAGTTTGTACTTTAGATGTGTATATGGATCAAGGAGGTAATTGGCTTATTAAGCATAAAACAATAACATTAACAGCAGATGCTTACACACAAGGAGGGCATCAAGCAACCCATCATAAAGAGGCAATGCTTACAAAAAAAGCAACTACTACAAAGTTTCTGACATTGTTTGAAAAATCTTGCTAGACATGGAGGGAGTAGGGAAGTGGTGAGAAGCAAAATTATTATGAAGTGCTCATGGAAGAGATGAGTTTTTATTTATCATCATTGCCAGGGATTTATCCATCTGCATAGGATTGGGAAGATCATGCACCAGTGAATGAAAAGGTCCTGGAAAGTAATCTATATCCTCTCTGTGTTGGCACCATTAGGTAATGCTCACTTACTGACCACAGCCAAGCTGCTGGAGGGGGTGCGGACTTGTAGAAAGTAGTGGAGGTAGCAGAGCCTGTGGCTGTTCTGTATGCAATCATCAGTGACCTGAACTTGATGCTTTAACCACTACCTATTTATTTTCTAAATTTAGAATAAGAATCATTTGATATCAGCATTTTAAAAGGGTTTGTGAAAGATCTTGTGACACAGAAGTAATCACTTTTAAATCACTAAAATAAATCACATTTGAAAATAAATTAAAATAATATTAACAATATTGCTGTTTTTATCAAACAAGTGCAGCTTTGGTGAGCATACCTTAAAAGCTTGTAGACTTAAAAAGGGAAATATAAAGGCGGCAACACCAGCACAAAAATGCAACTAATACAACTCTATCTCATAGCTGTCTGAAGTCTCAAGTGCCTGTGTCCTCAAACCGTCACATGCTCCTTATAAACATTTTGATACTTTTGGAGCTTTGGCCTTATATTTCATACCAAACCCATGTTTGGCACTTAAATTGCATTAAATGCACACATTGATCATGGAAATCCAACCCATAGACTTGGCATTGTTTGTCTGTGCTCTACCACTCAAACCACATGAAGGCTACACACTATAATATGACATAATAAATATGTAAAATATATAATTTATATTATGTAATAA